TAACATCAAGATAGCATGTTTCAAAACTTACAACTTTTAAATGGGGTTATTTACTGCTTTTCTTTGTTTAAATCCATGCCCGAATAAGGAAGCCCCCCCACCCCCGCCATGCTTTTGATGTTAGTTTAACTGTACTGTATTTGTTAGATTTATTTTAAGGATCAGGAGGGGCATCATGAGGTTTTAAGCGGTGTTGTTTTCTTTTAAGACTTCAGTGTAACGAGTAACCCCCTTCCTGTTTTGAAGGCAGAGAAATGTCTATATATCGTGACTGAACCGGTCGCTCCACTCGGCACCTATTTGAAAGCGAAGGAGACAGTGGGAGAACTGATTGAGCAGGAGATCTCGTGGGGGCTGCATCAGATTGTGGTAAGGCTGCCCTGCTCCATCGAGGCCACGTGTCTGAATCCTACGTTACATTTAATTGGGTCCAGGGAGTAATGGCATTGCAGTGTCAGACACCGAGCTAGAGGCAGGATTAATCTGCGGTGTGGGGTCTTCAGGCCGTCTTTAGCAAAGTCTTATCTGCAGGCAGTAGGGACCATGTGAATAATGTGCAGCAAATTGCCCAAAACCACTGCAAACAGAGTCTGCTGGACTTTTCCACCTTCTCGGCCGAAGTGAGTGAAGAGTGGCGAAGAAATCCCAATCTCGGTATTGGCAAGGACTGCCCCCAAAAATCTGTCCTCGGTTTGTACTGCCCTGAGAGACTGCTGCCAATTAGAAATGCAATTTTTCCCAAATACATACTTCAACTTGCAGTTTACTATGAAAAATACTGTTTGTTTCGGTCAGTGTTCACCTTCCTGTAGTTTACAGTGAACCTCGTCCGTGCCTTTGTTACCTATAAAAGTGACGGACTGGGGACAGTCCTGGTTGGCTTCCCATCATCTATGTTCCGAAACTTGAGATCAGCCCGAATTCCGGGACCTTTGTCCTACCTCTGGGCTTGTCCTGTTTAGCAAACTTCCCCACCATCTTCCCCAGTGCTGCTGTTTGCTCTTACAGCACGGGAACAGACCCTTCAGCCCAACTTGTCCATGTCTACCAGGTTTTTCCGAACTGAACCTGTCCCATTTGCCCCATATCCCTCTAAACCGTTCCTGCTCATATACCCATCCAGCTGCCTTTAAAATGTTGTAATTAAATACTGCATTATTCAAGTATTGCCCAGCTGAGGGTCATCTTCTGTGGGTAATCTCGTGGCCGAAAATTGCAAAATGAGATTGGCAATTGGCGTAGAGTCATAGAGATGTACAGCACGAAAACAGATGCTTCAGTCCAACTCATCCAAGCTGATCAGATATCCTAAGTTAATCCAGTCCCGTTTGGCCCATATCCCTCTAAACCCTTCCTATTCATGTACCCATCCAGATGCCTTTTAAATGTTGTAATTGTACCAGCCTCCACCACTTCCTCTGGCAGCTCTTTCCACACACGCACCACCCTCTGTGTGAAAAAGTTACCCCTTAGGTCCCTTTTAAATCTTTCCCCACTCACCTTAAACCTGTGCCCCTCTAGTTTTGAACTCCCCTACCCTGGGGGAAAGATCCTTCTGTCCCTCTGGAAAATCAGCATTTTCCAACGACTTTCGATTCTGAGAAGTGTCATTACAGTCTCAACGTTAGCTGTGCTTTCTCTCCGCAGGTGCTGCCAAACCTGCAGCATTTTCTGTTTGTCGTTTCTTTTTGTTTCTAACGCTGCAGCGAGGCAGTTTTCTGTGCCTTCAGAGCAGCTACAAAGACGCGGGTCGGAGTTGCTGAGTCGAGCTGGGGGACTATCTGACACCCTGCTCCCTCCCCTCTTTTTTTATTTTTTATAGAAAGCCTTGAGTTTCCTGGTGAACGACTGCAGCCTGATCCACAACAATGTGTGCGTGGCTGCGGTGTTTGTGGACCGAGCAGGCGAATGGAAGCTCGGCGGGCTCGACTACATGTACGCCGCGCAGGGGGAGACGCCACCACCGCCGCCGAAGGGCTTCCCAGAGCTCGACAAGTACGACCCGCCAGAGAAAGCAGACCCCAGCAGGAGCGGAACTGAGAAATGGTAACCATCTGGGGGTGAGGGCGTGTGTAAGTGCTGCACCTCCCTCCCACGCCACAAATTCACAGCTTAGTCTGCGGTTAAGGCAGACCCTGGAGACCGTTTCCTCTATCTAACCCCGTGCTGTCCCTGTCCCTGGGGAGTGTTTGATGGGGACAGTAGAGGGAGCTTTACTCTGTATCTAACCCCATGCTGTCCCTGTCCTGGGAGTGTTTGATGGGGACAGTGTAGAGGGAGCTTTACTCTGTATCTAACCCCATGCTGTCCCTGTCCTGGGAGTGTTTGATGGGGGACAGTGTAGAGGGAGCTTTACTCTGTATCTAACCCCGTGCTGTCCCTGTCCCTGGGGAGTGTTTGATGGGGGACAGTGTAGAGGGAGCTTTACTCTGTATCTAACCCTGTGCTGTCCCTGTCCTGGGGAGTGTTTGATGGGAACAGTGTACAGGGTGCTTTGCTTTGCCACGTGGTGGTGTGGCATAGTGGGTTGACACACCTCTCTAGTAAACAGGAAATCCTGGAGTTTGAATCTCAGCAATGAATCTCTCTCCCAAGGGCTGTTGACTAACCTGATATGGGCCAACTGCAGAATGTCTTTGTGTTCACTTTACACTAACAGTGTCTGTGTTTTCTACATGTATCTAAACAAAACTTCCTCTCAGTCATAAAAGCAAACGGTTATGAAAATTCAGTTTAAAGGAATCAAAGGAGCTTTACTCTGTATCTTAACCTGTGCTGTCCCTGTCCTAGGAGTGTTTGATTGGGGGACAGTGTAGAGGGAGCTTTATTCTGTATCTAACCCCGTTGCGTGTCCCTGCCCTGGGGAGTGTTTGATGGGGGGACAGTGTAGAGGGAGTTTTACTTTACCTAACCCCATGCTGCCCCTGTCCTGGGTGTGTTTACTGGGAGACCGGGAAGAGGAGATTTACTTGAAGCTTAAGGATCAAGGGAGCTTACACTGTGTCTAACCCGTGCTATCCCTGTTCTGGGACGGTTTGACGAGAGCAGTGTGGTGGAGCTTTACCTTCAGGTTAAGAGTGGAGGGAGCTTTATTCTGTCTCTAACCCCTGTCTGTGGATGTTTTGGTCTGTGTAGTGGAAGTGTTACTATCGAGCCACACATTATGTTCCTCTGGGATTGCCTAGTCCTGCCAGATGGCATCCTGTGCCCCCCATTCCCACGCGTCAGTGTCTGTGCTGTCTTCCTTTTGCGGGTCGCTCTCTGGTGTCAACAGTCGAGGCTTGCCCCTCTGTCCCAGAGGATGGTGGAGACCAGCGGAGTCTGAGTGAGAACAGCCTGCACCTTCAGGAGCAAAGCGAGCTCAGCGTAACTGGCAGCGGTGCATGTTTGCGCATCGGCTCACGGAGACTTCCTGAATCCGAGGAGACGCGGACCGAGCTGACAGCTTTATCCCATTTACAGGTCAGCGGACATGTGGCGCCTGGGCTGCCTGATCTGGGAAGTTTTCAATGGACCGCTGCAGAGATCCTCCTCCCTCCGCTCCCTCGGAAAGGTCTGTTCTTGTCCCCCCTCGTGCATGTGCAGCGGCTGGGGGTGGGGGAGCTTGAGAGGGTGTGCTCTCGCCAGCAGGGAACAGTATGTACTAACAAGCTATATCACAGTGGCAATCAGCCCTGCTACAAGAGCCCTTTACCACCACCTGCCGTTTGTAACCTGACACCCGCATGGTGCCAAGGAATTGCCATCGGGCCACCTTCTAACGGAGGCATCTAACCCAGGCCCACTAGGGGATTGTCGGAAGGGAAGTGGGAGGGGAAGCAGTTTTTCTGGTGTTCAGGCCGTTCCATCAGTGGCGAATGGTGATCGATCCCGTCTCCATCGCTATGTCTGACAGCCGGACCCCCGCCTCCGGAATGCGAACTCTTCCATCGTCGGCCAATGTGCTGAGTGTTCACGGGGTTTTTCCTGTTGGTTTTTATTGTTGCTGTGTTCTCGGGGCTGGTCCCTTGGCTTAAGGGCAGTGGTTGGTCAGCTGTTACTGTAATATCGTCGACAAATCAGTGTCTCCCCGTCTCGTCGCGTCTCTCTCTCTCTCTCCATTCCACCAAATCTTTGCTCTCCTGAACCGAGTGATAGGTAAATCACAGAATCCTTCGTGTGAAAGCAGGCCTTTCAGCCCATTGAAGAGCGTACCCATTCCACACCGTCCTATAACCCTGCATTTCCTACAGTTAATCCACCCTAACCTGCACATCCCTGGACACTATGGGACAATTTAGCGCAGCCAATCCACCCTAACCTGCACATCTTTGGGCTGTGGGAGGAAACTGGAGCACCCGGAGGGAACCCCACGCAGGTACAGGGGAGAAAGTCACCCGAGGGTGGAATCGGACCCAGGTCTCCAGCACTGTGAGGTAGCAGTGCTAACCACTGAACCACTGTGCCGCATTCTTCCTGCTGCTGACTTTACCTCTTCCTTCTCTATCAGATTCCCAAGTCCCTGGTTCCTCATTACTGCGAGCTGGTCGGGGCTAATCCTAAAGCCAGGCCGAACCCGGCCAAGTTTCTGCAGAACTGCCGGGGCCCCAACGGCTTCATGAGCAATAAGTTCATAGAGACCAACCTCTTCCTGGAGGAGATTCAGGTCAGTCCGCGATTGGGGTGGGGGGAGGGAGGGGCATGTGCCGTCATCGTAAACGGGCCCTCTCTGCCCCAGGATGGGGGAGTGAGACAGTGTATCTGTCTGTCTGTCTGTGCGTGTGTGCGTTGCTGTAACTCTCGGATCCCTGGGCCCGTGGTTTCCCCAGTCCTGGGTGCTGTGTGGAGCTGTAAAGAGGGGAACGTTTGTATTTCTGTAATGCTGCTTGTGGCCACCAGGTGTCCCGAAAGGGCCTTCCAACCAGAGAAGTGGCTTTTGAGTTGTGGTCGTAGCAAGTATCATCATCATAGAATCCCTACAGTGTGGGAACAGGCCGTTCGGCCCCACAAGTCCACGATGCCCCTCCGAAGAGCATCCCACCCAGCCCTATCCCCTTGCTGTAACCCTACATTTCCCATGGCCAATCCACCCCAACCTGCACATCCCTGGGCACTATGGGACAATTTAGCACGGCCAATCCACCCTAACCTGCACATCTTTGGACTGTGGGAGGAAACCGGAGCACCCGGAGGAAACCCCACACAGACACAGGGAGAATGTGCAAACTCTACACAGAGCGTCACCCATGGGTGGGATTGAACCCGGGTCCCTGGCACCATGAGGCAGCAGTGCTAACCACTGGGCCACTGTGCCGCCCTGGTCTATACAGAAAGATGCCAACGCCAGGGTTTAAATTTCCCACACGAGCTGAAGTTACATTGATCGTGACCTCTCCCGTCACATGAGGTGTGGGGTCCCTTGGGTTAAACCTGTGCCCCAGGGCATCATGCTGTCTAATGTGAGAGCACACCTATGTAGGAAAAACAGCAGCTGACATGCACACAGCTAGCTCCTACAGTGACATGATCGTGACCAAATCTTGCTGTGTGCGTGTGTGTGTGGCCTCACCCATGTCCTGTATAACCTCAACATGATGCCCCAACTCCTGTACTCAAAGGTCTGAGCGATGAAGGCAAGCGTGCTAAACGCCTTCTTAACTACCTTATTCTAGAAACCAGTCCATAATCCAGGTCGACACCGAGTGCAGTATTGAGGGAGTGCCACACTGTCAGAGAATGTCTTTTCCGGATAGAGCAGAGGGGATATGTGACTTTGGGGATATTGTCTCCATGGCTGTTGTCTCAAAAGCAGGGAATCTGGCCCATCACCGCATTGTTGTTCGGTGCAGCGTGCTGTGTTCAGATCGGCTGCCACGTTTTCCCTCCACGCAGCAGCACCTACACTTCTGGTTGGCTGTGAAGCAGTTTGCGGTGCTCTGAGGACAAGAAAGGAGCTACATAAATGCAACGCTCTGCTTCAGATTACTTCAGAGCATGCCTGTGTGTGTCTGCCTGTGTGTCCCAGTTCAGTGCAGCGTGGCTGTGCGCCAGATTGACAATGTAGCCCACCTCTCTCTGTCTCATGTCTACAGATTAAGGAGCCCATGGAACGCCAGAACTTCTTCCTGGAGCTGAGCTCGCAGCTCGACACTTTCCCCGAAAACTTCTGCAAGCACAAGATCCTGCCGCAGCTGCTGACAGCGTTTGAGTTCGGCAACGCCGGTGCCGTTATCCTCACCCCACTCTTCAAAGTACGTACAGGCCTGTCTGCAGGGTACCCCGCCCCTCTCCGTAGCTGCCTCTGTGATTCCAACAGAGCGTCGTGCTGTAACGTGGTGGTTTTATTCCGTGTGCTAACAGGGGTCAGGGTCAGGGTCGGGGTTGGTGGTGGGGGGGATGATGATGATGATGATGATGATAGCGTGTAAGCTTAATACTTGCGTTAACAGCCGGGATTAAAAAGGCCATTCTTTTTGTTTTGAAAGCAGGGTAAGCCGTGACCTCTCAGTGCTGTCTCCACAGGTGGGGAAGTTGCTCAGTGCAGAGGAGTACCAGCAGAAGATTATCCCCGTTGTGGTCAAGATGTTCTCCTCGACAGACCGAGCCATGAGGATCCGTCTGCTCCAGCAGGTCTGCGACTTTACCCCAGCTTTTAAAATACCGACAAATTCTCGCGTTCGAAACCTCAGTGGGTCTTGCCCTTTTACCTGCCCCAATTTTTAAAAAAAAAAAAAACCACAAACCTTTGCAGCCCAACATCCCCTTCCAGATCTCCGCACTCCTCCAACTCCAGCTCCTTGCTTGGACCAGATTTTATTCCCTTTGGAATAAGTGATTGTGGCTTCAGCTGCCTGAACCCCCGAGTTCTGGAATATTCCCTCCAGTCATAGAAACAGACCCTTCGGTCCAACCAGTCCATGCCGACCATTATCCCAAACTAAACCAGTCCCACCTGCCTGTGCTTGGCCCATATCCCTCCAAACCTTTCCCTATTCATGTACTCATCCAAACGTCTTTTAAACGTTGTAATTGTACCCACATCCACCACTTCCTCTGGAAGCTCATTCCACACACAAGCCACTCTGTGTAAATAAAAAATGTTGCACCTCATGTTTTTTTTAAATCTTTCTCCTCTCACCTTAAAAATACACCCCCCAGTCTTTAAATTCCCCACCCTAGGAAAAGACACCTGCCATTATCAACACCCCTCATGATTTTATAAACCTCTATAAGGTCATCCCTCAGCCTCCTACACTCCAGTGAAAAAGAGTCCCGTCCCGTCCTCTCCTTACGATGAAAACCCTTCATTCCTCGCAACATCCAGGTAAGTCTCTTCTGAACCCTCTCCAGTTTAATAATATCCTTTCCTCTGTCCGTGGAAATAGTTTCTCCCTCACTAATCCTCTATCACTCTAAAGCACCAAAAGTATATCACTTGCTTATTGTTTTGGCTGCAGAGGACACGGGCCTAGATTGTGCACTGTGACTTCCTAGTTTCACCGTTTAGCACCGTCCCTGTCCCCCACATCGTTCAAAGGACAGTGCCTGTGACAGGGGGGACAGCGCTCGCTCAGCCCTGCCAGCCTGGGCTCTGGTCTACGGAATGAGGGATGTGCGAGCCCACGCTCTCGGCCGATCGGAGCAGACCTATCGGAAATCGTTGTCGTGCGCCAAGAGGCAGCAGCCGTTTGCAGCACAGCAGGATCCCGTGAGTGAATGACCTGCTCCGTGCCCTGTTTGTTTCAGATGGAGCAGTTTATTCAGTACCTGAACGAAGCGACGGTGAATGCCCAGATCTTCCCCCACGTTGTCCAGGGCTTCATGGATACGAATCCCGCCATCAGGGAGCAGACTGTCAAGGTGGGTGCAGTCGGTAGATGCAGTGGGTGTTATGCTCAGCAAGGGTGCTGTGGTGTGGGGGGGAGGCGGTGAGGTGCTGGTGGAGGGGTCGCTCTCTCTCTCCAGCTCTGCTGGCCACCTGTTTCCTCACAGGTACTCAAGACCACGCTAATGCTGTTGGAGTGGGGGGCGTAGGGCTGGACCAGCGCTCAGGATTTGCTCAGCCCCCACCTCATGCCCTGGAGCAATCGGTTGTGAGGATGTAGGGACGCCCACAGTTTGTTCTTTTCAGAAACGACAATTTTAGTTTAACGGTCACCAAATAATGAACCGGATGAAAATTGCAGCTGCAGTGGGGTTGGAACCGGTTATTGGGAAACCTGGAATCATTTCGATTCCCATTGCTAAAAGATCAGGCATGGGAGCCATCGTCAGGTCTGGGATTTTCCTACTCGTGTCCCTGTGCCGTGTCCCTTTTTCCCCCCCAATAACGGGATGCAGGCTTTGCTGGTGAGTCTCCACACGTATCGTCCTGAAGGAGGGGGTCACTATCCATCTCATCTTTGACGAGGAAGGAGCTGTGTGTACAGTGTTAGTGGGAGACATGTCTAGGGCCTCTGTCCCAGCAACCTCTGTCGCTGCTCCGATTCGGAATGGTGTCCAGCCACATTGGCCTAGGACTGTCGCTCGCACGCGCTGACCCCGACGAAAGCCCAAGCTCATTCTCCGCTTCCTCCTGCTTGCAGTCAATGCTGTTGCTGGCTCCGAAGCTCAGTGACAATAACCTGAACGTCGAGCTGATGAAACACTTTGCACGGCTGCAGGCGAAGGATGATCAGGGGCCTATTCGCTGCAACACCACAGTCTGCCTGGGGAAGATCTCCTCCTATCTCAATGCTGGTGTAAGTACTGATGTTTTCCCCTCAATCGCAGCCTCCTGCTCCTCCTGGCTTCTGCTGGGCGAGCCTGCCCCCACTCAGTTATTTTACACCGGTACCCTGGGAACTGTGTCCTCATTCGGAGGGGATTTCCTGGGAAGTATGTCAGTATTTGGGAGGGGATTCTCCGGGAAGTGTGTGTGTGTGTGCGCGTAGAGGATCCTTCCGGGAAGTGTGTGTGTGTGTGTGTGTGTGTGTGTGTAGAGGATCCTTCCGGGAAGTGTGTGTGTGTGTGTGTGTGTGTAGAGGATCCTTCCGGGAAGTGTGTGTGTGTGTGTGTAG